CCCACTAATTTTTTTTCTAAAATCTTTTTTCTGAAATCACTTTAATAAAGTCTGTTAAATCAGTAAAATAAAAATTTATTATGAAGTGTTGATCCATAGGGTTACCGTTGGTTTAAAGGGAAGGCACAATTTTTAAAGTTTTGCCCAAAGCCATTTTTTAGGAGTCCATTATTTTTTACTACAGTTGCATATAATAAAAAAAACTAGAAGGTTTTCTAAATTTTCATTTTTAAAATACAGAGCTTTAAAGTATGAGCAAAACATGTTTCTGCTAGCAAAGTTTTAATTTTTGGAAAAATCAGAAATTTCAAATGGCGATATTTCATGAACCACAAAAGATTTTAAGCTGGAATTTTCAGGAATTACTTTTCTTATTGATATAAACCAACCCACCAAGTTTCATCAAAATCTGAGGGGGTCCATGTTGGAATCCTAAAATTTCAGTCCATTTGGTATGGAATGACCCTTTAGTTGTAATTATGGAATCAATTAAATTACAAATCACGTTTACATTAGTTTTTTTAGCGCATTTTTTTGAAAGCGCTAATTTTCAAAACTTGCAAAGAGCCGTTTTTAACAAGAGAGCAAAAGTAAATGCATTTTAGGATAATGAAACTGTAAAATCCTCTCATTTTTCACTCATTAGTGACAAACAGTGGTTATGCATGTGGCATTTTGTTAATAAATATAGTTTTTTTTTTTTTGAATAATATATTTTGTGTTTCAGAGTTAAATAATAATGCATTTGTCTTATTAATGATGCAAGTTTTTTATTTTGGCATTTTGTTGCATATTTTTTAAACAAGGTTTGTATTAGGGAATTTGTAGTTTAGGTAGTTGATGTACCCTTTTTGAAAGGTCTTCATCAAATATACAATAAATGTAGGCGCACAACAAACCAATAAAAGATTTATTCATTTTTGGACTATTTAACTATTTTTAAATTTAACAATTTAGAATCCTAAATTATTTTTTTTGTTTAATTTATGAAGAGCACTGAAAAATATATAAACTCTACTTTTCTTGATAACTTCAAACATTTTTGAAACCACAAAAGACACAAGAAGAAAAAGCGTCTTGATAACTCAACAGAAAAAACTCAAGATATTTTTATTGAAATTTAAAGATTTTATATAACTTTACATGATATTAGTAATTATAATAATTAGAAAAAAATTATTTTTTGCAGAATGTTGTTATGTTGAAAACAAAAAGTAGTAAGCAAGCTGTTCCACAAAATATTGTACAGGTTAGATTTTGAATGTTTTATTAATTTTATATTGTATTATTTTTATATTGTATAGATTTTGAATGTTTTATTATTTTTTCATTGTATATATACTATTTTTATATTTTATGTATCTATAATAGAAAGTGCAACCTTGCAGAATAATTTTCAAAATCCCATTTTAGAATTAGTTTTCTTGTTTGATATAATTGACATGATTTCTTTTAACTTTATAAATTAGTTAAACTTTTTTTAAAATGAATTTTGCTCTAAATAAAATAATTTTTTTTTTAATGTTAGTTTAGTCAATCATTTTATTCTCTTAAGAAACAATTTACATACAAAAAAGCTTGCTGTATCAATTTTACTCTAAATAAAAGTGTTTATTTTGCTAAAAAACATAAAGTTGTAAAGATTGTTGCAAGTTATCTAAGCTGTGGTTATTGTTTCAAACATGTAAATTATTAGTTATTTCAAGAGTTCAAATTTAATAAATTTGATTATTATACAATTTTAAAAGTTCTAGAAAAGTTTTAAACTACTTTATTAATTTTTCTCATTTGGTAGTAATATTTACCTTTCTTGCGTGGGTTGATTTGTTTTTGTCAACCTGATAAAATAAGACTTAACAATGTAGTAAGAAAACTAAACATCAAACTTATTTTTTAATGCTCTTTCAATTGAATGAATATTTTTATAGCACTTACAAATCCTTATAAGAGTGTCTGATGCCAACAACAAATAAAAAATAACAAATGCTACCTAATTTATATAATTTTTTTTTCTTCTGAAATTCAGACAGGTGCACAGAGTAATAATTCAGTTCTGACAGTTTGTGTATAGTTTAATAAAAAAAGTTATTTGACCAATATTTCGAAAATCTTTTTGCTGCAACTTAATTTTTTTTACTGTGACTTAAAGGGATCCCAAACTCCCAACACATGTTTTGTTCATATTAAAGATAATATTAAAATAAAAAGTTTTAAACCAAGTTTATTTGATTAAAAATAAATAATGAATGCATACCGAGAAAAACTAACGTTGTTGTTTTAGCCGAAGCTCGATTTCATTTTTTTCAATAACTTGGAGTCTTTAAATTATACGTCACAATCTACAGACTTTGGCGATTCCTTTGAAGCGCCTTTAATTCATAAAAGTTTTAGTATTTGGCGTCACAGTAGACTTTTAACAAATAAAGCTCTGGAAATATTTTTATTTATTTTTATTCAAACTTTTTTTGATTATTTATTAAGTTTTTTTTTCTATTTTTAACATTTAAAAAGATATTAAAAACCTCAAGTATTTTATGCTGGTTCGTTGTTATAAATTGTTATTGCACCATATATTTAATGTTTATAAATTATGAATATTTATTATCTTAATCAAGGCTCTGATAAAAAATTATTTTACATTAATTACCCTTATAAAATTAGTAACAGCATTTTTATTTGGTTAGACGATATTTCGTTTCAATTTGCTTTGCATGAAGTTCAGAAAGTCAAACAAAAAAAATTAGTTTGAATAATCACGTTGAAAATTTAAAACAAATTATTTTAATGACGGGGGTTCTAAAGGTTTTTATAACAAATGTAGGTAAAAAATAAATAAATAAATAAAAAGTTCAACATTAAACATCATTTCTTTATTATATTGCAACTGTAAATATTGAAATATTAACTTGAACTAAATTTACTTATCATTTAGAACGACTAAACAATAAAAATAAAAAGCCCCTAAAATTATGCGATATTGTGTTGTTTATTTGATAATTGTTGTTGGTAATGTTGTTTATGTTGATTATTTTCATTAATATCAAAATAGTCCCAGATTAATCTGTTAGTTGCTTTGTTCATTGTTGATTTATTTCTAATTTAATTTTATCTCAAAGTATAAATTTATGTTAAGAAAGAAAAGTTTTTATTTCATCACATGCTCTTTTTATAAAAAAGTAGAACAAAAGAGAAAGAAAAGTTTCACCTAATTAAACTTCGAATGAATAAGAGTTGTTTAGAATATTTTTTTTTTGCGTCACTAATTCTTTTTTTAGAGTAACTTTTCTTTGAATAAATGAAAATTGGAAGAGAAAATTGCTTGAAAATTTGTATTTGTTGTGTTTTAAAATTATTTTAATTTTTCATGTTAAGAGACTAATGCCAAATACGACACAAATTAGTAAATACCAAGTATATGTTTTTTAACGCGCGTTATGACATTTTGACAATTTAAATTACCATTTATCTTGAATTATTGCTATTAATTAATGTGTTAATTATTGCGTTATATAATAATAGTTTGTCCGTATTTTTGTTAAATATTAGTTGTATAAAACGGGCGAAAATATACAAACTTCATGTTTTTTATTAGATGGTTATAAAATATTGAACAGTAAACTTATAATCAAAATTTATAATGCTGACTTGTGTTGCTATTAATTGTACTTTTAATGCAAAACCAGGATCTCACATATCCTTTCACAAACTTTCATATCTGATACTACTCTCAACTGTATTGTTTGGTGTATTCTTGTACTTTTTTTTCATAACCTTAACAGGTTCTAATTGGTAAGGAGTTGCCGACATTTTAAAAGTTTCATTATCAAAAATCAAATGTAAAATAAAATGATATTTCCTTTTTATCCGTATCCAATTCAGTAATTTAAAATAATTCGGTATAATCAAAAACTTTTTATAATAAAAAAATTTAACAATTCATTAAATATCTCTAATTAATACTGTCAGTTTATGAAATTAATTGTTAATAAATACTTTTTTTTGACGGGAAAACAAAAAATATAGCGTAAAAATAACCAGAGAAGTTAGAAAAAAGTTCCCATTGTTTAAATAAAAATAAGTAAGATTCAGAATATATAATACTGCGCTCTCTTGCTCAAAAATGAGAGACTGTATACATAACGTTCTATATAATGTAAAACACTTGTATGAAAATCATAAGATTCGTAAGTAAAGCTTTAATATTTATTTTAATTTAAAAACAAAAGAATTATAAGTAAGATATATAAATCTAAAATTTATTAAGATATCGATAAAAAAAAAAAGTTCCTCCTATGAAATAAAAAGCTTTTATTATTTTTGATTTTTACAAAAATTTGTTGTAAAAGTTGTTTTGCTGTATGTTAAAAAATTACTACATCATACTTTTTGAATTAAAGTAGAAAAATGCAGCTTTATTTAATTACACTTTTCTTTTATTAAAAAGAAAATTGACGTCAAATGCTAAAACTTTTAAAAGCCTGTAGATCGCGACGTATAATTTAAAGGCTCCGAGTTATTGAAAAAAATGGAGAAGTATGCATTCATTATTTATTTTTAATCAAAAAAACTTGGTTCTAAACTTTTTTTTAACATTATCTTTAATATGAACACAACATGTGTTGGGAGTTTGGGATCCCTTTTTAGTAAGATTTGTTTGTTTTCCATTTAAAATTTTTACTTTTTGTGATAAGTCTTGTTTAAATTTTTTGTTTAATTTGGTGGTTGTGAGCCTAGTTATGTGTTAACCTGAATTTAGTTTGATGGTTGTGAGCCCAGTTATGATTAACTTGAGTTTAATTTGGTGGTTGCGAACCCAGTTATGTTAACTTAAATTTAGTTGCTTTAGTAATTTTTATAATTGTTTGTTTTAAGTTTACATAAAAATAAACTTTTATGATTTAACATCAAGGGTCAATTTATCATATTGCATAAATTTATGCAAAAACAAAACAAATTTATGACTGATGAAGTAACAACAGTTGAAACTTACATACTTTAATTTATTTTTTGGTTAACCACCAGTTAATTCAAGTATTACAAATAAAAAGTTAAAGTAATAATTACTAAAGGTCCAAATAATATGCATGGTAATATTAAAATCAATCAATAAAAAATTATACTAAAGTTTAAGCATTGTACAAAACATAAAAATCTGATTTTTGTTAGGGAGAAGCATTGAATAATTATTTGTTTAAAAGTAAATGTTTTAAATTAAACATTAGTTAATAATAAACATAAAAATTTTAGACCACTTTTATTTGTAGTTACAACTCTATCTCTCTCAATTCTATAACTCTGAAACACGTACCTTGACAAACAAGGCCGCTGCGTGGAAAAACAAGTTGAGCGTGGTACTACCAGGAATGTGATGGGGATCGCATGTGTGGTTGCATGAATTATATGACCATGCATGCAGTATTTTGTTTTAACAACTTGGCCACAACACTTTGCATGTTTTAAGTTAGCTCATTTAAAAATTAGTGTTTTTATTTTAATTTAAAAGTGTTTTACTACGAAGAATTTAGAAAAAAAAATGAAGTTTCAAAGTTATTTAATCCAAGCTTAATTACTTCAAAACTTATTTAAAAATTTAAACTATTTAAAAATTGAAACTTGATATTTTCTAATGTCTACAAAGCAAATAAAGCATAAAAAAGAGTTTCCTTTAGTAGGGTTAGAACCCTCAACCAATACGGATATGACAGTCATGTCTCTGACTCATTTGCAAATAAAGATGAATAAACTTCTTTTTTCTGAGTTTATTAAAAAATAATTAAAATAAAAAAAGAGAAATCTAAAAATAAAAAAAAATATTCAATAACAAGCTTTTTCTTTAAGATGTATTCAAAAAACAAATTAGTTAAAAAACATTTATTTTGCTTTTCACAAATGTTGCAATATTTTAAAATAATGATATGTAAAGTTTTTGTTTTAATTTAAATTACAAAGTTTTTACTTAATCTGTTTAATCTTTTTTATTTTCTATTTTATTTCAATTCACTTACCCAAAGTTATCTATGGCAATCGAAATATTATAATGAAAAATGTTATAATTCAACTTATGTGTACTTTACAAACAAATATAGGACTATTATATATTTACGACAAATATATGACAAGTATTTTTTAATTCAAAACTTTAACATAAGTTATGAAGGCCACTACAGTTGAATAGATCACTTTTAGTTGTGATTACATCTCTTTCTCAACTCGTAACTATGCAACACAAATCTTGACGAGGCCGCTGCACAGTGAAACAAGTTGAACACTGTACTACCAGGGATGTGATGGGAATTGAACATTAAATATGGTTCAACCAAAAAAAAACAATAATTTAATTATTTTATAAGGAAAAATTAATATTTAATATATAGAGTAATTTTTTTTGCCTAGGTAAACAGACTTTAGAAGGGTCTGGCAGCAGGTGCAGTGAAAAGCTCAACCCGACTGCAGACCACAATAAATGATTAGTTATTTTGAAACTTAAAAATGCTATGTTGTTCCCTCTTGCAGAATATCAGACCAGATGTGTTCCAACAACTGAAATTAACCAATTAACAAAAACTTTACAGATCGAAAGTTTAGAGCTATGATGTTTAAGTTATAATATTTATAAAGTTTTATGGTTAAGTTGTGTTTGTTGTTAATTTTTTCTGATTTCTTATCTTGTTTTTTTAAGATAAGTAAAAAAGACGACATCCTTCCAACTAAAAAAGGTTAGAACTTTGTTACTATAGAATCAGAATTGTTTTTTTGCAATTTTTTTTTTTTTATTTTAAAGAAGATTAGCTGAAACTGTAATTTTTTAATTGCTTTTTAAAATAAACTTTAAAAGATAATTTACAAGACATTGCAATTGATGAGTTCACAATTAATTATTTCACTTTATATTTTACTTTATAATTATAAAATCAACTATTCCACTTAAGCATGGTTAAAAGTCAATAAAACGGTATAATAATTTTCAAAAATAAAAATAGAGATTTTATCTTTCTGTCATGTCCAACCCAACTAAAACTAAGCAACCTGACTGACAAAAAAAAAAACTTAAAAAAAAATTGTATGAACTATGAGTTGATATAATTTATGTTAAAATGAATTAAAGTTTTTAAATGTGAAAACATGAAAAAAATGATAAAAGTTAATTGAGCGTGAAGGAGCAGTTACAGTAAAAAGTTGTAGCTCAGCTGAGTGTTGAGTCGCGCTAGATTAAATTTTAGTTCATGTAAAAAATAATGATAGCTTGCTTGAGCAGCAACTGTGCTAATGTTTGTAGAAAAGAGGAGAGATGCAACCTTAAGACAATTATACAGAAGTTAATACTTTGTAGCTAGCTAGATTCAACAATTGTTTGGATCTTGTCTAAAAGAGAGCCTCATTAAAAGAACCAGTCCAAGTATTATAACAGTATTCCATACAATTGCAAAAATTTATATAGTTAAAGAATGGAATAATCTGTAAGAAAATGGCATATAAAAAAAGTTGACATCTTAGTAGATGTTAACTTTGCACTAGATTATTAAATTAGTAAATTAGTTATTTGTTTTATCTATAATTTAGGTGCGTGTGTAAAAATTTCAAATTATTTTTATATATAAATATTATATATCATTAGAAAGAGCTTTAAATTAGTATTACAATGATGAAAATTTTATAAAAAAAACGAATATTTCTACAAAAAGTTATGCCCATTTAAGTAACAAAATTTCATTATAAGGATTGCTTAAAAAAAATGCAACCAACAAGAGAAATTCGCGTCCGTCTAACTGTACTTTTGCAATAATAACTTCTATTGTTAAACTGCACATTATTTTGTTTTCTGTAAATTTTAATTTAACACAACTTTAACAAAAAATAAATAATATTGCTTATAATAATATAACAAAAAATAAATAATATTTGAATAAATAATTTTTAATGACAAATAAAATTTTAACAAAAACATAAATTATTATATATTACAAAATTAGCGCATATATATGCACTATTTATTATAAACATTATTTTATAAATATAGATTTTTATATTAAAAGGCTTATTCGATAAACTAAAAAGTGTACTTAAATATAAAGACAATTAAAAAATTTAATAGTCTATATTTATACTTATTTTTTGCAATTATAATGACTTATGGATCAAATTGGAAAACCATGTGACTAGAGTAATAGCAACAGTTTTTGGGGAATACAAGGTTTGTTTTCTATCCACATGCTATTATTATTGTGCAAGTCACCCGATTTTTTCTAGTTAGAGCCAATAATAATTAAATTATATAATTAAATGTTTTTAATTATTTTACCATTTTACATCAACAGGCGGTAACATTTAATGTTAGTATTCAGAAAGATATATAGACATGTATTAGGAAAAGCGCTTTAGTGTATCCTTTGTATCCGCCTTGATTTAAATTGATTAAGACTCACATTCTGTCAAAAAAAAGGTTACTTCTTTTAAAATATAATTCGTAAATAAAAAATTAAAAGTAAATGATTGAATTCCCATTTGCTTAGTAATGTTTTTAACATATTAGTGGCTATAAAAATAGCCTAGTTTTGAAGCACATCCAAAGTTAGAAAAAGTCGATTCTTCCACAACAGAGTTAACACAGTGCAATGACATCAGCAAAAAAATGGATTTCTAAATAAACACATGTTACCATAGCACAATCATTTTAAATAGAGAAGCCATAGTCCTGGAAAATAAATATGTAACTGTTATTACTGCATAATCTAATCTATAAGTATAATCTTACCTCTTTAATGTTTACTTGTTAATGATTAGCATTCATTGAAGCAAAAATCTATTTTTCAGCTTTCATGCTATGAGTTAAAACCTTGTAATGATAGATAATGTAATGTATTAGATTTTAAAAATAACTGAACAAACTCAATAAAAATAATAAAAAAGAAAGTTTAAGTTAAAAACAAATCAAAATAACTTAACTTCTGATGTTTAACACATTGTGCCCTTAAAACAGAAGCACCTATCAAACCAAATAAATCTTACAATTTTTGTTACCTGAAATAGAATAGATGTGATATAAAAACAATGAAAAAAGAAATACCGGTTTCAGGGTATACTGATTGATTTAATTTACTTAACATCTCAGCATCCATGCAGGCAAAGTTCTATTATTCTGAGTAGAAACAGTATTTCAGGAGGTAGTTAATTGGCATAAGTCAAATGGTAAATGAGCTTTGGTTTCCCATAGCACATTGCAACCAAGTCAACCCTGGTTGTTGGATGTCGGTAACAAACCCGACTACCTGAAATTAGATCTGATGTAAACAAATAATGAATGAAAGAATTATAAGTCTTTTTATCATCTCATAAATAAAAAAATAATAATAATAAAAATAAACTGTAAATGAAATCTGTTAATGAAACTAAATAAACTACATTATTATTCAAAATAATGTATACCTTATTAAAATCAATTCACACACTATTTCTTTATGAAATGACCATATTACCACTTATGATGTCTGCAGATTTTAATTTGCTTATCTCATACTCTACAGCATCATCATCCTCAATCAGGATATATATCATAGTAGACCTAAGAAGTCTACTATGATATATATCCTGGCAATTAGCAGCATTATTAAACCACACGTGGCAAATATATTTTCCAATAACAACTCTAACAAAAATTTCTTCAATATCCGAAATCGCATTACTTTCTATTTGTAGAAACATTTCTTTTATCTGATGCAACATGCAATTTTTTAAAGTTCTTTCTATTTTTCTCTTTTCTTTGTCCTCCTTTTTCTAAATTTTATCTGCCATACGCTTTATAAGTTCTGATATCATTTCTTTATGATATTGTATATTTGCAAACCAGATTTTTCTGGCATTAGTGATGGCCCATTCAATCAATTTGTTTTGAATATTAGTATGCTTATTGCAGAGCAGAACAGTTGTTTTATTTTTGCAAGCGCGAAGTTTTAAAGAAAGATAACAAAGTGTGGCATTGAGTTTTTAGCTTTACAGCATTAAACATGCCCATAAGTTCCTCTGAATCAATGATACTAAGCTATGCTGGTTTAGTCTGGTTCATAAGTTGATCATTAGAACTTATGTCGAATTGCTGCTTGTACTGTCAATAACACTAACAACAGCATTCAGACAGTCAGCTAATGTTTTATTCATTTTATCAGTTACTGGGCAAAAGCTGATTATTGAATCAAAGACTCAATCTTTAATATCATTTCCAAAAAAATCTATTTTTTGTTTAATTAGATATAGAGGATTCTAGCCGCTCTCAATAAGAGCATTTTGAACATCTTTGACATCTTTGACCCTGATCAACATAAAATTGCAACATAAATTTTTTTATCCAAATACCAATCAGTAGCTTTCCTCCTTTTCCTTTCTGTGAGTTGCGTGTCCTAGCATTAAAGCTAGGACAAAGTCAGGGAATAATAAACCATAATATTGGCCTCTAATAGTCTACAATTCCCTATCTATTCCTGCAAGTGTCATAACTATTGGTTTTAAAAACTTTATGAATAAGCTTTATTATTGCAATTCAATAGGAGAACTGAACGTGTACAAGAATGTAAACAATCATATATAAGATTCACCTGTTTCAGATGTAAAGTCTTGCAATAAATTATTTCTAAACCCTCCACCTAACGCCAAGCCTGAAAACAGAAACGTCTTAAATATTGCATAGTAATGAATCAAAATACCACGCATGTGAAAAAGAATGTGTAGTCTGTTCCCTCTGTAGCGTGGTAACAGTCCTCTGGGCAGCTTGTTTGGTCCAAAAAGGCTATAAAACCCTCTGGGTCACCTTTCAATAACATTAGGTATATTCTTTTAAAGACGGCAAGAAGTATGTGAAATAAAAAACATTTTTTACGCTACATGTTAAATCTGTTTTAGATTTAAACTCATAATTCACAAAACTACAATTTAACTAAGAGTAAGATTAAGATAATACATCTTTGTAGCGAAGTTTATTTAGCTGTAGATTAATATTTGCTGCAATGCAGTTTTTTTCAAAAAGTTTTCCTTTGGAAGTCTTTAATGCTTTAAGTGAAGACTTGCAAGCACTGGTCATTGCGTCCAAGGGGTGAAGATGGCAGTTTAGTTCATTCAATGATTTTTGCCAAATAATGTTTAACTTTGTGATTGTTGCATGGTTTACTGCAACTCTGTCACTCATTGTATTAATTATATTGCCAATAATAGTGTTTTGTACATCAGGGTATTGTAGCTGGTAAAAGTCACTTTATAACTTGGCAAGATTATCAATAGACTTTGTAATGTGACTCTGATAATCAAAAGCTGTACCTCCAGAAAGTTGATCAATAGCTACAACCATGCATACTGATTCGGTTGTCACAACATTAACATGAACACCTTCCTGAGTTGTTGCATCAAATCCAATTGTCTCAGCAGTCTGTAAGTCTGATATCACACCTAGCTCACACATCATTTGCTCCACAGTAGTGCGATGCAGAATGTGACTAAACTGATAGCCAGTGTGTTCAACAATTTTTTGAAGAAGATATAGCATACTATGTGTAGGTACTTGGCACACAAGCATGTCATAGATAAGCAACCTAATATCTGCTGAGTAGATTCTTTCATTTTTGGTGGTTGTTTTTATATGATGCGTTTGCTCCATATAAAAACAACCACCAAAAATGAAAGGCTTTTTGATAAGAGAACTTGTTTTTTGTGAATGTTAGATGGTGATTCAAAAGAAAAATTTTGTTTTGAACTTTAACTGTAAATTTAAATATTTTTCCTTTAATTTTTTCTGAAGCTGATAGTTTTCTCCTTGTGAGTAATAACCTGATTTAAATATTTAATTCTGCATGACCTTGTATTTGTCTTATCTCTTAACTCTTTTAAATCCTCTCTATGCTTTTTATTTTGTAGAAGTTATTTCATTTGCCAAATTGGTTAATCTCTTTTTCTCATAATTTTTTTTCTGATTGGCTCTCAATCTGGATAGTAGTGGTTTCTAAGAAGTGGCCATTAGAGCAGGACCAGATAAAGAAGATGATTGGTGATCACTATTTACTACAGATAAAACAGTGTTGTGTTGAGAAGATAATAATGAAGAACCTGAAACAGTGTTAATTGTCATTGACTGCAAGGATTTTTGTTGTAGCTAACGTTGTTATTTGGCCTGCAAAAACCTTGTTGCATATATCAATAAAAAAATTTAAATTTCTCAAAAAATTGCGTGCATATAACTTGGATGTATTCACTAGATGCACAATCTGATTTTGACAAATTTTAAGGTTTAAGCATATTGACTAGTTTTTCGGTTTTTTTAAACGATTTGGTGTTGGTTGTGAATATATACAGTACATGTCCATTCTTACATTCAATATTTAATTGAGCAGGCAATGCAAAGTTACAAGCTAAATAACTTTTGGCTTCACCATAAAATAAACGTCTACTCTTTTTAAGGCCTATGATTCATTAAATAAAATAGCTGTAATCATTCACTTAGGTCATCTACTAATCACAACCACTAACTATATTAAAAAAATTGCTTGAATGTACACGAGAAAAAAAAATAACTACTTAAAATATTTAATAAAATACATTAAAGTATGTTATTAATAATTTGTACTTGATAAGTTCATAAAGTAGCTTATCTGGTAATAGGTTCATAAAATAACATGTACCAAATAAAAAAAATTATTAAAATGTTCACTTAGGACATTTTAATAATATTTTTTAAATGTAAGTACATTAAAAGTATAATATTAATAATCTCCTCTTAACTGGTTTATAAGCCTTTTCTACTAGTATTATAGGTATAAATATAGATATTTTCATTAAATAACTTATACCAATTTCCACTTAATTCATAAAACATCATAAGTTAACTTAATAAATTAGATGGAAATCGGTATTAATACTAGTAAAACAAAATTCTATTTTTTAACAAATTATTATTGCACAACACTTTTAAAGAAATTGATATGAAGACATATTTTTAAAATGAAAAGTCAATAATACTAAATGCTCATAACCGTGACACCCCCCACCCCTAAGCCACCATAAAAAATGTAATATTGGGTACCTCCAGGGAGTGCAAAAATAGAGTAGAGAGTAGAGAGTGCAATTATTTTTACTTGAAATTTGGCAGATTCGTAGAAAATAGATGTTGAAAATTATATGAACATATTACAAAAATAAATCAACATGCCATCAATATCAATACACTTCCACAACTGGAACAAAGTTTTTAATCCCAATAAAATTATTGAAAACGTTAGTAACTGCAAAAAAAAAACAACTTTAAACCTTCTACTTTTAAAATAAAGTCTAAGTTGATATAAGATTTAAAAAAAATAAGGTAACAAAACTCATCCTTACAACACCTACACCAAGCAAGCTGTGAAAAAGTAGGTCACAGATTTTTACTTTAAAATTGGTGCCATAAAAGCCAGATGCGCACCTACCTATATAATATGTTAAAAAATTAGTAAAAATGATTTGGTAATAGTTAAATATTTAAGTTCAAAATAATTTAATTAATCAAGAAAAAGTTTTGGTTTTATTTGTTCCTAGTTTTTGGAATTAAAAATGTTAAATAATCAATGTGAGTTATGCATATTTTAATTGAATTTTCTTTGAATTAAGATTATGACATATAAACCTTGAAAATTTGGAAATATTTTCACATTTTCTTGTAGAGCTCAACAAGCTGAAAATTGAACAATTTAAAAAAAAGTTCTATATTTTACTTATCAGATTAGTTATAAAAGCACTATTAGAAAATTTAAAATAGCATGCAGTGCACATTAATTTGGATTCCATTGTTTATGTATAATAAAAATTAAAAATTGTGAAAATAAAATCTTTTATTTAGTAAAATAATAAACACATACATGCATTTAATTAACTGATTTTATATAATTTTTATATATAATAAAATTTAATTTTGAGATTTTATATCACAGACAATTGCATACATTTGCATTTAAAAACATATAAATTTAAATTGAAATTATATGTAATTAATAAAAAGGAACATGTACCACAACACTATTTACCACATTTCAGGCTTTGTTAAGAAGCATTATGCAAAATGTTTAAGCAGTGTTTATTTAAAAAACATTAATTCGTAATTGTTATAAAAATCATTTTCACCACAATTGTAAAATAATTTAATTTTTTGTAAAAATAAAATGATTTAAGATTAATTTTTTAAACATATTAAAAGTGGATTTTGGTATGCCATATTTTTGAGCTATTTTTTTTGAATTCTGCTAAAGCCGTCTCAATTTTTTCTTAAGTCATATTTTTAATTTGTAAGTTAAGCTTTAACACATCGTATAAGTCTTATGCACTCTAATATTATATATATATATATATATATATATATATATATATATATATATATATATATATATATATATATGTATATATATGCGATGGTGGTGTAGTGGTAGAGCGCTCGCTTCATAAGTGAGAGGTTCTGAGTTCGATCCCCACCACGTCCCTGGTAGTACCGCGCTCAACTCGTTTCTCCGCGCAGCGGCCTTGTTCATCAAGGTTCTTTTTTCAGAGTTATAGAGTTGAGAGAGGGTTATAACCACAATTAAGTAGCCTCCTCGTCTGTAGTGGCCTTCTCGGCCTTGGGGAGGTGAAATAACAAGATTTAGCTTTAACAATTAAGATTAGAAAAAAATTTTTTTTTTTGAAATTTTTCTTTGAAAGAGTAATTAAAATATAATAGAAAAAAAAATTACTGTAGCCACCCGTGGTTGCTTCGTTTTTAGTTAAGAAAAAATTATATAATTTATTACAATTATAATTTAAATGCATATCATTTCAAAAATTATAATTTTTAATTATAATTTTTGAAATGAAATTTAAATTATAATTGATAATTATTTTTTTCATATTATGAAAGATTATTGTCTTTTTAATATTAGAAGAAAAAAAGTTCTTTTGAAATCTTAAATTTCAACCTTTAACTTTAATTTTTAAGTATGCATACAAAATAACAATATGTCCAAAATATGCATAACTGATATCAGTTATGCATATTTAGGATATATTGTTATTTCATAACATCATCAATGGAAAATGAAAGAAAGGAAAAAATAAAAAAGATTACTTTGTTTTTTAATTACTTTGAAAAATACTTTGTTTTTTAATTATCTTTAGGTACTTTGTATTTAAAATTATTTTATGTTTTTTTAATGTTTAATCATAAAATAAATACATCATTTATACATGTGTCATAAAGCTTTTAGACTCAAAATTTGAAAATAATTATTAAATGGATGGTATTTTATTTCAAAATAAATTGTTTGATGTTAAGTGATTGCAAAATAAAATTGTTATTGGTTTTAATTTTGCAAATAAAATTTGTGAGCATACTAGTTATTTTTTATACAGGTTGAATTTGGTGCATCAAACCAGCTTATACAAAAAGTTTGAAAGTATGGAAATAAGATAATTGGGCGCAAAGTTTAAAATTTTTCAACAAAAGCTGTTACACCAAACATACTATCACTCCATACAAACTGAATGTAATTTCTATCCAATGCACCTAAATATTTTAGGTGGAGTATATATTTGTTTGCAAAGAAACACAACATAAATCATTTTTTAATATTAACTCATTTTTAAAATTTTGTCGTATAGGCTGGTTCGACGCTTAAGTATCTAATTGTGATTGAATGTATAAACAAGTTTAAATGTATAGTTTCTAAATGTGTAGTTTTTATTAAATCTATTAACTATAGAAACTAATAAAAGTAGTTATTACTATTTTTATTTTTAATTAATTTAAAAGTTAATTGAAAGTATAGTAATATAATTTTTTTAGTTTTTGTTTTAATAATTCTTTTATTAGGCATTATTTTTTTAATTATTCATAGATGTTCTTCCACCTGATTTTTTTGACTTATCAGTGGAAAAAGTTGCAAGTGGATCAGCATTACAGAAACCGCTATCAACTGAAGAACCTGTTTCTCAACTTTCTGTTGCTTCAGAACCTTCCACAAATGTCAGTTTAGATTCATCGGTACCTAATGGTATAAAGATTTATGATCTTCATTTAAAGTAAAATAAATTGCCTAGAAAAGAATATTTTTTAATTGTTTAAGAATGTATTTTGTTTGGTTAAATAGTTATTAATATTTATATGTATATATATATATATATATATATATATATATATATATATATATATATATATATATATATATATATATATATGTATATATATATATTTATTCTTTATATAGCAATTTTATTTAAATAATTTTTAGTAAGTAGTAGAAAATAAAAATCTTTAAAATATTTGTCTTGATGTAACGATTGATGTTCAATACATAATAACTTATAAAATTGTTAACTTCTATATAAAAAAACTGAGACTCGCTTGTTTATTTTTTTCTTTATTAAGTTTCAGACCATAATTTTTTTTGGAATATCTGCAACATATTAAGACCCTCTCCCTGTTAATTATTTTTGAAGAAAATAAAAGTGTAAATGTAAAATCTTATTTCCTATAAAAAAGAACGTTGTCTCTTTAATGTGTGTTAAATGCACAGCATTAACTAATTACCTAAGCACATAAGTATCTCTATCATGATGTATGCACAATTTCTCCAAAAATTTCTCCTAGTTTTTTGATGTTTTTAGAAGTTTTAAGCTTCTTTAAAAATTGTCTCCATTTGGTTTGTTAGAGTATATAATATCTTTATATATGTTATAATATAATATCTTTGGAACATCAAAAATGTTTTAATTTGTATTTTAAAAAATTGATAAACATTTTTAAAAAATTGCTTAAGCATAAGGATTTAAACCAGGGCAATGCATTTCAGAAATGCTGCTAACCACTTCAACCACTAAGGCATATTGTTCGATAAATGTTTAATTACTGTTTAATTAACGTAGGACTTAAATTAGAAAGTTCTTTTTGCAATTTTTAAGTTAAAGTAAAACTTAAAAACTTGATATATGATTTAACATTGCATAATTTGAAGTTTACGTAAGTTAGATGTTTGCATACACTTTCATTCACATTTTCTTATAAAAGAAGTGCTGCGACTCTTTTTTGCCGTTACCTCGGTTGCAATGGCTGCCAAGAGTTCTGTGTCAAATACACACGAGTGGGCACTACCAAATCTCAAATAATTATTTGAAGGTTCCCAATCAATACTGATTGGCAGAAATTATTGTAATGTCAATTTGTTTGTTTGTTCTAATATCAATCCCACAATCAATTATTTTTTGGAAATTCTATTGATTTTGTGCAATATTTCTCTAAATATATATCCCTCAATGTCTTTCGGTACTTAAAAAAAATCTATTTTTAGAACACAAACTGTTGCAATTGTTTATTGCTATACAATAGCGCACATGCACGCTATTGTTTTGAAACTTCAAACTGCAAGAATTAACTCGTAAGTCATTTTTTCACCTCTCAGCGTAGCCTTTGAATCGAACAATTGTTTTTTATATAACAGTTTTTTTAACTAAAACACAAAACAAAAAAAAAGGTTGTGAACATTTTAACTAATATTTGATTATTTAAAAGTCACTTAAATCTTAAAACAAAAGCTATTTTATTCAATTTAAATTGTCATGATGTTTTCAAAGCATTTAGCATTTCAAATGCATTATAGCATTTTTAGTTATTAATTCATTTTTATCAAAAGAGTTTGCTTTATTCAAAACAAATTCATTTACAGTTAATTAACATTACAAATTCTACGCTATGTTTATTCCACCAATCAAAAACATTTGCATTTTTATATTATTCTGTTTCTTTGCTTATTTAATATAATTTTCACTCTTTTTTTTAATTACCGTTTTTATTTTGAACTAAAGATTATCATGATCTTAAAACTGTTTAATTTATAAATCATGAATATTCTTAAATTTTAATGCGAGTTTTATAACTTTAAGATTTTTTTTAATTATAAAATTTGACTTGCAAGCGTTGATAATTGAATTTGATTGGCCTGTATTGTTCTTGGGAATTCAAAGTATCTTTTTTTTTCAAAAGTTGACATTTGTTGATTGATATAATAAAATAAATTTGTAAGTGATGGTATGCAGGTGAAATTCAAAAATATACTTAACTAATGGTATGTGATAATCATACAATAGTATGATATTTTATTCAAGTTATACCAACTTCAAAAAAAAACAAACCTTTTAATAGTTTTTTTATAATTTTTTTTAAAGAAAGAAAAAGGTTTTTATTAATTGTAAAAAAGATTTTTTTTTTTTTTTTTCTTATTGAAAAATTGTTTTAAGCTTTTATACAGAACATAATAAAAAATGATTTTCAAAAATAAATAATGTGAATTTTTTTTCAGATTTTTTTGATGAGCAAGAAGAAAATAAAGTTAAATTCGAGCTAAAGGAAGAAAAATCTAAGAGCTCAAATCGCAAAAGGTTTTTTTTTTCAAATTAACATTTTTTGAACAAGTAGTTATCTTTATTCAAAATAAAGATAATTACTTGTAGCTTATTATTTTGTTATAATTTTATAAAACCAATTTCTATTATTATTTTTTTAACATAAATTGAAACTTATGTATGCTCAGTTTGTTTTTCTATTTTCTATTTTAAATTATTATTATTTAAATATTTAGTTGCTTATTAATTTACACTGTTTTAATGTTTATGCTTCTCTGACACAATGATTGCATAAAGCAGGTGACCAATCTCCAGTCAAGTAGACGTAGGAGAGGTGATTTTAAAAGAAGATTATAAATTGTAGAGTAAAAATGTAAATAAATGTTCTAAATGGAAATATAATCTCTATGTTATGGGGAAGGCAGAAAAATCATAACAAGCGCTGTGAGCAGGAGATTATTATAAAGCATATGTGGTATTGCGTCTGTATGCTTGTTGTATAATGATTGCTAGCATAACCAAGAAAAAAAGTATTAACTAAAGAAGAGAACTAAGTATTTAACATAGTATACTATGTTAAATACTTAGTTCTCTATAATATAAAATGTATATATATAATACTTAGATATATATATTTTATATTCTCTATAATATAAAAATATATATATATATACTTAGATATATATATATATATATTTTATATTATAATATAATATACTTTTTTATATTATAATATTCCAAAGAAACTTTCTTAAAAATGTATTGTTTGAGTTGCAAAAGTAATAAATAAATCTTTGAGATTTCTTTTGTAAATTGTTTTAAGAATATATTATCAAACAAAACTGATTAAATTAACATTTAAATTAATAAAAGAAATTAATTATAATCTTTGATAAATTAGCATTTGTCAAACAATAATTGTCATAAGTAAGTTGTTACTTTGTATAAATTTCGTAAAATTATAAAGTCGGTTTTTATTATTCGAAAATAGAAATTTGATATTAGAATAAAATCCGGTTGACCGCAAAACCGGATAACCGGCGAAATCACTACTATTAACAAACGTGTTTCACGTGACATGAGCGATCGCTCCCGTTTCATGCCAAGGCCTGGTATAGTGCTTAGATTTGTTGTTATTATAGCTCAAATCTAAATAGGTTCTAGGCTACATTAATGTTTGAGTTTTTTTTATATGTTATTGGACTCACCCTGCTTTGTATTGCAGTGGGTTCTTGTCTGATTGATGTGCTTCAATTTTTTAATAATATAAACTGAAGCACTAACTCAATATATAATATATAGCTCTTATATAAAATAAAACAATATAAGAGCTAATTTTATATGTACTCTTGGTTAACAAAATAATAAAGTAACTAATATGTAAAACAATGGTTATATATTTGTTATATAATTATGAATTCATAATATTCACAGATAGGAACAGGGTGAATTTATGATATACATCTAAAGGTGTAATACTAGTATGCATTTTAAGGTGATTTTCTGCATAATTGTTTTTCTATGGGAATGGGTAAGAAGAGAGATAAGTAATGCCATGAGCATGCATAATTCAAATTTTAACTTTTTTTGAAATGAAACTAGGTATGTCTAAGTATGTCCCATAGAAAAATGTATACGATAGTAAATGACTGGGGTTGATAATTGACCGGGGTTGGGTTTGTGACCGGGGCTGCATAAACATTTATACATCCTAAAGTATTTTTTTTTAATTCAAAACTTATGTTATATTTTGTTATATATGCATAAATAAACTAGGGATGTACAGAAGCTAAGATTTTGCCGAAGCCTAAGCTTCGGACAAAGTCTCTCTGCCGAAGCTTTTGCACTTACATAGGTAAAATTTGCTCTTTTGTAGATCTAGCTATCTAGGGATAATATTAATTGCTTAAAAAATTTTTTAACATTCTACTCCAAGTATTTTATGTACTGCATATTGCAAAATATATGTACTGCAGTTATAAGTATTTTAGCGCTCAAGGTATTTTACTATAACAAATCATAAAGGTTTTTTTTAAATTACACAATTTCATAGGATTTTAGAATGTAGCTATGCCTTGTTTGAACAAGTTTAATGTTATAAGAAAAATAATTACTAGCTAATTTGCAATTTTATATTTATTTATTTTTTTTTATTTTTTTGTCAAGCCACCATTTACAATTAAAGGTAATTTCCGATAAAATATTTAAAAATATTAAATATAAGTACATTTCATTATTTATAATAGTTACGAGACCAGAGAACCTGAAGAAGATAAAATCTTATCATCAGTAACCTTTGATAATAAAAATTGGAAATAAAAATGTTTTCTTAGAAAAAATCATGTAAAGAATTTTGATTGGCAATTAGTTTGATTATGTTCTTTTTAAATTTTTGAGTGGTATTGCTTCTTAAAGTTTACCACTCAGGTTTGTAAATTGGTTTCATAGCATTGGACCACGATAGGAAATGGCAAAGCTCGTAAGTTTTGATGTATGGAAAGGTTTTTTAAATCTTCCGGTAGATCGTGTGTTGTATTGGTTTAATGTTTTATGGAAAATATTTTCAAAAACCTTCAGCGTTTTTTTTGACTGATGTTGAAACATAAATTGTGTAATTTTGAAAATATTTAGTTCATAAATATCAAGCGCCCTCATGCTTTTTAGAAGAGGTTTAGCATTTATTAAAGGGATCCCAAACTCCCGACACATGTTGTGTTCATAATAAAGATAATGTTAAAAAAAAAGGTTTGAACCAAGTTTTTTTGATTAAAAATAAATAATGAATGCATGCTGTGAAAAACAAATGTTGTCGTTTTTGCCGAAGCTCGTCTTCTCCATTTTTTTCAATAAATCGGAGTCTTCAAATTATGCGTCGCAATCTACAGACTTTGGCAATTCCTTTGAAGCGCGTTTAATTCATAAATGTTTTAGTATTTGGCGTCACGGTAGACTTTTAACAAAAGAAAAGTGTAATTAAACTAAGCTGCGTTTTTCTACTGTAGTATTTTTTTAATATACAGCAAAACAAATTTTTTTGTATTATTTTTCTAAATATCGCAAAAAAAAATTTGTAAAAAGAAAAAATGATAAATTATTTTTATTTTATAGGAGCAACTTGTTTTTTACAGATATCTTAATAATTTTTCGATTTATATATCTTACTTATATTTCTTTTGTTTTTAAGTTAAAACAAATATTAAAGCTTTACTTACGAATCTTATGATTTTCATACGAGTGTTTTACATTATATAGAACGTTATGTATACGGTCTCTTGTTTTTGTGCAAAAGAGGGCAGTATTATATATTCTGAATCTTACTTATTTTTATTTAAACAATCGGAACTTTTTTCCAACTTCTCTGGTTATTTTTACACTATGATATTTTTTCTTTTCCCGTCGAAAAAAAGTATTAACAATTAATTTCATAAACTGACAGTATTAATTAGAGATATATGATGAATTGTTAACTTTTTTTATTATAAAATTTTTTTGATTACGCTGGTTTATTTTAAATTGCTAAATTTGCTAAATTGGATACGGATAAAACTATTAAACTTTTATTTCTCTCATCTAAAAAAAGAACGAGTGACGCAAAAATAAAAAAAATCTATACAACTTTTTTATTCATTCGAAGTTTAATTACGCGAAACTTTTCTTTCTCTTTTGTTCTACTCTTATAAAAAGAGCCAGCGATGAAAAAAAAACTTTTCTTTCTTAACATAAATTTACACTTATAGATAAAATTAAATTAGAAATAAAGCAACAATGAACAAAGCAACTAACAGATTAATCTGGGACTATTTTGATATTAATGAAAATAATCAACATAAACAACATTACCAACAGCAATTATCAAATAAACAACACAATATCGCATAATTTTAGGGGCTTTTTATTTTTATTGCTTAGTCGTTCTAAATAATAAGTAAATTTAGTTCAAGTTAATATTTCAATATTTACAGTTGCAATATAATATAGAAATGATGTTTAATGTTGAACTTTTTGTTTAATTATTTGTTTTTTGCCTACATTTATTATAAAAAACTTTTAAACCCCCGTCGTTAAAGTAATTTGTTTTGAATATATTTCAAAATGATTATTCAAACTAATTTTTTTCGCTTGACTTCCCGAACTTCATGCAAAGCAAATTGAGACGAAATATTATCTAATGCTTTTACTAATTTTATACGGGTAATTAATGTTAAACATTTTTTTATCAGAGTCTTAATTGAGATAATAAATATTCATAATTTATAAACATTAAATATATAGCGCAATAACAATTTATAGCAACGAACCAGCATAAAATATTTAAGGTTTTTAATATCTTTTTAAATATTAAAAGTAGAAAAAAAAAAAAACTAAACAAATAACCAAAAAAACTTCGACTAAAAATAAATAAAAATATTTCCAGAGTTTCTTTTGTTAAAAGTCTACCGTGACGTCAAATACTAAAGCTTTTATGAATTAAACGCGCTTCAAAGGAATTGCCAAAGTCTGTAGATTGCGGCGCATAATTTGAAGACTCCTATTTATTGAAAAAAATGGAGAAGGCGAGCTTCGGCAAAAACAACAACATTTGTTTTTCACGGTAAGCATTCATTATTTATTTTTAATCAAAAAAACTTAGTTCAAACCTTTTTTTTTAACATTATCTTTAATATGAACACAACATGTGTCAGGAGTTTGGGATCCCTTTAAGTGATTTTGAAAATGCATAATGCGTACTGCATGATTCTGTTGTTTAAGGAGACAGTCAAGTTTAGATTTATTTGTACTACCCCAGTAATTACTAATTAGGAGTTGAATTAGGGTGTCAATTTTAAAACTAGTTTGTCTTTTGTCAAGTCTAAACTTTAAAATTATATTATAAACAATGTTTTAGTTTACATTTCGTTTGTACTTAGAAGTATGATAAAATTACTATTTATAAAATTACTAATTACAAATGAGGAAAGTTATTTTTATCATACTTATTAGTTTATTGCGTTTAAATTAATTATCTGTTGTTAGAAATCAGGCAAATTATAATTTAA